TGGAAACTATGGCAGCTGGAGAGACCGCTTAGCAGTTTAGAGCACTTGTTGCTCATACAGAGGCCCTGGGTTCAGTTCCTAGCTCCTACATGGCAGCTCACAATCATCCATAATTCCAGTTCCCAGGGATCCAATGCCCTCTTCTGGTCTCAAAACACTCATAATATAGGAAAGAAAGTAAATAAATCCACTTGAAATGGAAACCAGAACTTGAGGTAACAACTTAGCCACGGTCACAAAGCTGGAAGGTTTGGGGTAAATGGTTAGGTTGACCTTAAAACAACAAAAAAAGAGTATCCAGGCCTCTTCTGAACCTGGATGATAGAGTTTTCCTTATGGCTACAGCATTTTCCTGCCTTAGATCTGCAAAAAATGGTCCTCAAACTTTCCAACAAGCTAGCATTTGGTGAGCACCACTTCTGACCTGCAGGCTCAAGCCTCAGGGTCTCCACTGTCACCTAGATTATAACTGCTCTCAATGCTCTTTCTGAATCTTTGCCCTAAATCTTTTTTTCCCCCTCTGAGACAGGGTTTCTCTATGTAGTCTTGGCTGTCCTGGAACTCACTGTGTAGACCAGGCTGGCCTTGAACTCAGAGATCTGGCTGCCTCTGCCTCCTGAGTGCGGGGATTAAAGGCGTGCGCCACCATCACCTGGCACCTTAAATCATTTTTACACTTGTCATATCTTGCTAGACCTGAGTTCAGAAGAAATGAGCCTTCCCATTTTTGTTTGTTTTATTTTGTTGGTTTCTTTGTTTGGTTTGGGTTTTTCAAGACAGGGTTTCTCTGTATAACAGCTCTGGCTAGCCTAGAACTCGCTTTGTAGAGCAGGCCAGCCTTGCACTCATGAAATCTGCCTACCTCTGCCTCCGGAGTGCTGGGATTAGAGACATGCACCCGGCTGGAGCCTTCCCATTTTCAAGTTGAAAAAAAAAAATGAAGTTCAAAGTGGCTCACCTAGTTATAAGGCATCTCTCGTAGCCAGGAGGATGGCAGTCACCGTCATCAGTGTCTAGCATGCCCCTGGGGACAGGCGGGCATGTCTTTCTAATTGACTGGGAGGTAGAGAAGCGGCCTAGCTGAAGCAGGCCTGTGGACATGTCAGGCAGACCTGGTTTCTAACCGTGATTCTTCAGGCTGCAGAGCTACTGTAGCTCAAGAAGGGGGAGAGGGACTGTAGTCCAGGAAGAGACCTGTTTTAAGAGCTGATTGAGCAGAAGAGGGGGTGGAGGAGCTATTCAAGGGCAAGAATCCATCTCACTTTTATGTCTTTACTGTCTAGTTCACCCCAGGGGCATGCCTGGTACTCAACAACTGCCTGTTGGCTCTAGGAGGGCATTTGGGAGGAGGAAGGACTGGGAACTTGAGGGGGTTTAGATTCAAGAATCAAGGAATGGACCGCAGAGAAGAGGGCTCAGGAGAGAGACTCCAGATGTGTGACCCTGGTTCCCTTACTTGGCCATTAGGAACTCCTCCAGGGGAGCGGGGTGCTGTGGCTTTAAATGATTTCCGCTCTGTCAGTGAGACTGCTGCTGCAGAAAGAGTTACCCTCCTGCTCCTGCGCTGGGCCTCCCCCTCCTCTCTGCTCCCCAAACCCTTCTCAGCCACTGTGATGGGATAATTAGATGCGAGAGCTCAGCACAGATGATGCTCCAGTTGCTTAGCAACTAATGGTTTCCATGGAGACCGCAAAGCACAGCCTCCAGAGCAGCCAGTGAGCAGCCCGGCAGGGCAGGGAGAAGACGCAACTCTGCTCCTCCAGAAACCTGGGGCGGGTTAGGGTGGGAAATGTGGAGGGGGAGATGGGAGGGAGATGGGAGGGCTTAAAGGCACAGGACCCTCGTATCCCTTTAAAATGCGGCCAGAGATATACCCTTTCCTATCTCACTTTGTCTCACTCCTAATTTCAAATGGGGATTAAGAATGGACCAATACAATGTGCTCTGCGGTAAACCCACCCTCTTCCTGATTCCTCCTTAGCCCAAATGGGAGGAGATAGCTCCCAAGCCCATGTGTAAACACCCTGCTATGTTGAGATTTTGAGGACGATCCCCCGACCCTGACATCCCACTATTTAGCCCTCTTCCCCACCTCAAGTTCTCCTTTGTGTGTGGATCTTCTTTCAGTGTGTGGAGTGAGGGTAAGATCTCATCTAAAGGGGACAAAAGCCAGGGAGCAGGAAACAGAGAAATCAGTTCTCCACCCAAAGGTAGCCTGTCCTGGCAGCGTGAGAAGAACCTCTGTCCTGCTTTCTATTAGAG